ACACACACACACACACACACACACACACACACACACACACACACACACACACACACACACACACACACACACACACACACACACACACACACTGTACAGGTCTTAGAGAAAGGATACGAGGCACAGCGAACGGCTGAGCGAAAGCATGGAACGCGCTGCCCCAGGCGATCTGCCAGGGAGCGATGTAAACCAAGATGAAATGGAGCTTCAGCAACAGCTCACGCATCTGGAGAGACACAAACAACACACAGTCAGTCGCCTACAAACAAACCTCATCAGAGCAGAAGCAGCGTTTAAGGGATACTGGAATATTTGACTTTGGAGTTTATTACTTAATTCAAACTAACTTTGTCCCATGGCAAAAAAAAGTGAAAACTAAGTCCACAATGGTTAACAACAGGCATGTCCAAAATAATGTATTCCCCTTTATATGTAAGTGGCAAAAGCAAACAACACATAATGCAGTACAGTTGAGAAGGTCATATTTTATGATCTGACAAAAAGTATATCAACATCCAGTTTTGTCAGATCTGTTGCTGACTATGAAGATTTGTATTACTGATCATTACTGATCCTCCATGACAAGTATACGCACATGTCTTTGAAACTCTTCACATTTCATTTCCAACACAGACTTTCTGTTAAACATCTCACGCCAGAGCAAGGTGCATTATCCTCATGTCTTTTTTATGAACTTTACCCAATACGTTTGTTTCTATTTCTGAGAAGCTGTTGGATTCTGTGTTGAGCGTGTGAGTGTGTTTTTGGTGTTGGAAAGAGATAACTGTTTGTCTCTATCATTCACAGACACATAGGCACACACAGAAACACAATCCCTGCTCTTGTACCTTGTGAAAAATAATAGACATGACGAAGAAGTCCAGCAGGAAGCTCTCGGAGGCGTGCGGACAGTCGAAGTGGAAAAAGACGAGTGTGAAGAGCAGGGTGAGGAACTGGAAGCTGGGGTCGCAGAAGGAGGAACGCAGGAGTTTCAGTCCAGCGACAGTCGTCAGCAGCACGTCACAGCTGGAGGCGGCACAGAAAAGACTTCAGACAACAGATTCAAAAGGTGCTTCGCCACACACACACACACACAGACTCACACACACACTCACTGGATTCCAAGTTTCTTGCGGTGGCTGAGGGCGAAGCCGTCATTAGTCAGCGCGCTCAGAACGATGGCCGGATACACCACGTACTTCTCAAAGCACAGGAGCCCCACGTACAGTCGCTCGAACCACATCAGCACGGCATCCTCTGTAACACAAGAAATAACAAAAATAACACAGCTAGACCATAATCACAGTTTTATATAGAGAGAACTAGTTCAAGGTTTCTACAAGGATGGGTTTAATGAACTCAGGAGACGAGGTCATAAGAGGACTCATAATTGTTGATTGTTGTTATTTCTGCCAGGGAAGGTGCCTTTTTAGCCATTTATATATTTCAGTCAGACAACTCACGTGTTCCTTAATATGTTTATCATAAGCAGCATGTAGTTTGAGTTTGGCGTCTAGGCTCGGGCCTCATCCCTCCACAGATTTACAAAGAACATTGATTGATGAGTTAGATAACTATCACCCGAGCCTACAGGTGGAAGCTGGGGTGGTGGTGGGGCAGGCAAGCAGCAGCAACATGAACAAAGCAGTGGCAGCAGCAGCAGCAGCATAGCGAGGCAGAGACAGGAAGACCTGGCAGTTTAAATAGAGCGGCATGTTTAGGAGAATGTGATTGGTTGGTTGTTAGAGGGACGAGGTGCGTCACGTGTTAGTGTCTGATTGGTTGGTTGTTAGAGGGACGAGGTGCGTCACGTGTTAATGTATCATTGGTGCTCGAGTTGACTGCCTGAACTAGCTCGCAGGCTTCGCCCCATATATTAGATATATATACACATGTATATATATGACCCAAATATGTAAATATGTTAATTTAATTCATTGATTAATTATTTTTAAAGTGACTTAACTACTGTATATCATTTTAATGTTATCTTTAATTGTATTAATCTTTAATCTTGTGTTAATCTGGGCTGTCCTGTTTTTCATTCTTACCCTGTTGCTGTATAAACTACTGAATTTCCCCACGGGGATTAATAAAGGTCCATCTTATCTTATCTTATCTTATTTAAGTTTGTTTACCCGTCTCTTGGCTAAAACAATATTCCTATCACTGCTGAAAACATTTCCGTACATTTTAAAATTTAGAATTCATGCAAAATATGAAGCCATTTCATCACTGTGTGGTCAAATGACAAATGTAGACACCTTTAAAGCCTTGGCGATTATGTGTGCTCTTTGCAGGTAGTGCTTATTTATTAACAGAAACCTCTGGACTATATAAAGTATGCATGCTGACCTCTGGGTTCAAACTGGTGGTACTCCTTAGTCTTGAGAACCGGATGAGAGATCCACAGCCAGGGGTGGTGCTTCCTCAGCTGGGGGATCAGGTAGTGGGTCACAAACCCCACCGTCCCCGCCAGAGCGTACAGCACGATGGTCACAAAGGGCTGGATACAAGTTGGTTTATCATAAAAGAAACATAATGAGGATACATACTTATGAGCCAAATCACTTCCTGCAAACTGTGACAGAGATCAAAAGTAAAGTGGGACAGAAAGAGGGAACATTATATCCCACCTTGAGAGACAGAAAGACGGTGCTCGCAGTGAGGGCGAAGGTTAAGATGTAGGCAACGGAGCACACGACTACATCCGACAGCAGGATCTCCTTCTGCAGAAAACAAGTGAGAGGGAGAGCTGCAATCATTAATAATCCACACTGAATGAAAACCCAGTCCCTAATCAGACTCATTTAGGTGTGAGATTATTTCTGTCTAAGCGTACTAACTTTTGAGATCAAAGATGTAACAGCTGGAGAACACTTTTACAATCCACATTAAAACGGTACAAGGCGACGGGATGCTTGTTTTCTCTGATGCATAATTCCCTTTAATCACACTGAAGGATCGACAGCAGACATTGTTTCATTATCTCGCGTGCAAATCTGAGTTTCAAACACTCTGGTACCCGCACACAAAATGTAAGAATTCAACAACTCACATGCATGGTGCTAATAAGTATTCATTTCCTGATGTGATAATTGTAAGTTGACAGAGCTAAATATGGCTCTGGGCTGCAGCAATTCAAAACAATAAAAATAGTTTACTTCATAGGATGAACATTTGCACTGTTAAGTGTTTTTATGACTTCATGGCAATTGCTGATTATAAACCAAATAATCTTTAGTCACCATCGAGTTTTGCAGTTTCTCTGGCAGCGGGTCTTTACTTTCCGTGTCTTCCTCCTCCTCTTCTTCACTCTCTACCAAAGTGGGCATTATCTTTGACTTGACCAGAGATCTGTAAATGAGAAATGCCACATGTGTAGGATGAGACATTAGAAATAAGAAGATAGTGTTTGTTGAATAATATAAAGAGATGTTTGGTTGCCAATCCTTAAGGAAAGCAAAAAACTGACCTTTTATAAACTACATTTTTTTCCTCACAACAAAAAACACATGAAATTCAGGGTTTTTTATGTCTGAAAAGTATTCTCCCCATAAACTCCAAAACAAAACAATTACCGGTATTTGGAATTCTTACTGTTGCAGCAAATAAAGCCATAACTAGAAAATGGCTCAAAGCGGATATCCCTTCTCTTGACAACTGGTACGACAAAATCCATGAAATCTATGTTATGGAAAGAATCACTGAGACTGCCAAGGCACACNCAAACTCCAAAACAAAACAATTATTTGGAATTCTTACTGTTGCAGCAAAAAAAGCAATAACTAGAAAATGGCTCAAAGCGGATATCCCTTCTCTTGACAACTGGTACGACAAAATCCATGAAATCTATGTTATGGAAAGAATCACCTTCTCAATGAGGCTTCAGGAAAACACATTTGAAGAAATATGGAAAAAGTGGAGAATTTACATATCCCAAAGACGACCGTCCCTTGTTTGACTGTTTCTATACACCGATTGAATGTATATGTATAGATGTGTATGTATGGTCACATGTATGTGTGTATGTGTATTGAATGTATATATATATATATATATATATGTATGTTGATATGTATGCATATGTACATGTGTAGACATTTGCTATTTCAAACAACCCCTGTGTACTTTTTCGTTTTTATTTTACTTTGACTAATTTTGTTTGCTATTTCATTTGTCACTTTCGGGTCTCTAAAAATATATGATTTGAAAAACTGTACTTGTACTATAATGTGACCCCAAATAAATAAAGAATTAAAAAAAAAAAAATGTCAGGGTTTTTTATGTCTGAAAAGTATTCT